TATATATATATATATCTGTATATCTTTTCAGGATTTTTTTCCACTACAATTGCAAACTACAAAATTTTGTCCACAACAGCAAGATTGAAATCTTTCTTAAACATCTTGCATCTTTTAAAAAAGATTTTTAAATGTTAATCATTAAATTCAAATTATTCAAAATCAATATTCCATAGTAAGTATCAGTAGTACTAATCTCTGTTCTCTTATTTATGAGCCATGTACTTACATACTTTTATTCAATGCATCAAAATAATCATTTGATTCAAAGACAGGTTAGCCTTTAATTGTCAATTGAGTATTATGCTTTAAATAAATCATAGTCAGAGATTTTAATCTATGGTATATTTTTATATTAAAATAAAATAACTGAAAGATACAATATTTTGTATTATAATAAGCACATAATTCTACTATGAAGAAGTGTGAAATTATATAAAATATTTCTCTTCTAATTCTACACTGACATCACAGAAAGACAAATTAATAATTTATAATATACAAAAATAAAATGTCACTACTATTTGTTTTTAAATTACTTAATATCAGAGCAAACATTATATTCAGATACCCAAAATACTTCATGAAATCTAGCATAAAATTTTATGTAAAAGTCTTTACTAAAGAAGATTGACAGGCTGGGGATTTAGCTCAGTGGTTTTGCTGCCTGCTGCGCAAGCGCAAGGACCCGAGTTCGATCCCTGGTACCAAGACAGTCATTTTCAGATATAATTCTGCAAAGAATTACAAATTCAGTCCTAAAAGAAACAAGAGTCATAATTTTACATAGTCTAATGTAGGTGTTATAATAGTATAAATAGCACAGTAACACACAATAACATATGCAACAAGATCACCAAGGTAGAATATTTTACTTTGACAATTAATGACGATTTACATGAGTGTAATAGATCTGATTTAAACATGTTAAAATGGGAAAATTAATTTTTTTTTGTACTGGGGATCGAACTTAGGATCTTGTGCTTGTGAGGCAGTTGTGGTGCCATTGAGCTAAATTCCCAGACTGAAAATTAATTCTTAATAGAATGAAGATGGTCAGCTGTGACTTAAAATCTTGTATATGTGATTCTTAGACTACGAAAGAGTTTTAGAACAAATGGATTATATGGTTTAGAGGACAGTATAAATACACCTATCAATTTTAGAAATTGGAAATTGAGCAAAATTATTGTAACTTACCTTAGCAGAACAGGAGGTAGTGAAGCTAGTCCACACTGCAACAAATGAGAGGCTCAGGAATGCTGTGTTGGAAGAAATCAATAGATAATAGCCCTTCTTACCTCATAATTTATTTTCATACCTCAATCCAAGAAAATAGCATTTTCTATTTCAAGTAGTCTTGTTTGATGAGTTTACTGATTAATAAAACTTCTGTCCTTTACATAGGTGAAACTACAATTTGGATCTCAGAAGACTATGTATGGAATTGAGTATGGTCATGTAATTGGATACTGTCTAAAATGGCCCCTAAGTGGATGGGAGAGCTGGATACCACTACTGTGGCTGCACACGTCAGGTCACTTCCTCTAAAGCTTATTCACAGTGTGGCCTCCACAGTTTGTGTTTCTTTCTGAGGCTGCCACTTGCAAGCCTCACCTGTATAAAAAGCACTACTTTGCACTTTATTCTCCTAGGCTACACCAATTGAAAGACAGCCAGTTCCATAATTTGTGAAAGTCAGATGTGTGGCATGATGTAAGCGCCCTGGCAAACTACCAGAATTAATTGACAACACTTATTTTCTATGCTTAATAAAGAATGCACCATCTACAAAATGTCACAGAAATTTTATCAATCCCACTTAGCCTCCTTTCCATTCTTTAGCTTTCTGTATTCCTCTTCTTGTCTATGTCTTAAGGATTTTTGTCCTCAGTAGCTGCTCTTCATGTTTCTTCAAAGCATACTCACTTCTGAATTTTCTAACCAAAATCACACAGATGGGAAGTTTACCGTCTTAAGATTTTTGAAGCTCAAAAATATTTTTTCTCTGTAAGCATTAAAAAAAAAACAGAAGTGTGGCAAAGGGCTGACATAAGGCTTACTTGTTCAAACTCAACATATAAAAGCAGCCAATCATTCCTCTTTGATGGAAAAGTAAGCCTGAAATGTATCAAAAGTTAGTGTTACACTCACTGTTTCCCTCTGCATGGAAACATGGAGCAAGAAGAAATGAGTCCCAAAAACCTTTCCTAAAAGATGCATAGCATTTGCTTAGCTTTGTGCACTTCTTTCTTTCTTATTAAAAATAAGACAACAAAGATTTTCTTTAGAACTTAGAACAGAAATAATTTCATTCCCTTTGATTTTCCCATCCTTTAATAAGAAAGTATTGTGCAGTAATATATTTTGACATTAGATACCTACAAACAAATTTTGAATCATACCTTCTTAACTTAGAATACTCTTGGTATGACTTACTCACATATATTATAATTTATTCATTTATTGAACAACTATTTGTATTATATAAAAGTATGTATACAGGATCAGACAACTTGTAAAGTTACCAAATGATACAGCATAATTTTCTTTTTATAAGAAGGTTACAGTTTAGTAAAGAAAATAAGATATAAATTTTATTATAAAATAACATATTCAGAGATCAACAGCATCATGTATTACAAACAACATTTAATTGTTATGGGAGGGCCAAATAAGAAGAGTCCCTCTCTCTTGGAAGATTAGGGAAGATTCTTGAAAGAGAAAGCAGATGAACTTGGTTTTGATGGAGATCATATTAGAATGCCACATGGGACAGACATTTCCAAGGTGAAAGAAGAGCATCACATCACTCACCGTGCATTGTCATAATTGTATGCATTGTTCTGTGGCCCTGAACCAAAGGCAGCCCTTCCCCTACCCTTTAGGCAGAAATCAGCTTTGTAACAATAGCATTAAGAAATAGGTATGGAAAATTGTTTCTTTACTCATTCAAATCCAATTTTTCTTTTGGAAATTTCCCCAAGCATAACAAAAAATATATGATTGTTGTCCCTGAAAGTCTTGAGTCCATGATCAGTGATTTCCCATGTTAAAAGATTTAGCAAAGTCACTACTGAATGAAGTTAATATATTTAAAACTCTGATTGTATACAAGGATTATCTGTTATTAATTATGCTGATTACCTTCTTAATGTAACCTCAAGACTGAGTCAACATGCTTTTCTGAGTTTTTAAAAAATAGGGCAAAGGTATTTTTTGATTAATTTCCCAACTCTTCAGAAATGTCATCTTCATTGACATTTTCATATCTTTGTACACTCTTTAGACATGCTTAAGAATTTAAATTTAGAGACTATCATTAATTTTCTGCAGTGTCTGAATAACTGGGTTGGCCCCTTAAGCATATTGTATAATATTACTTTTCAGATTGAGAGCTTTCTGTCAGAATGCACTAGCTCTCAAAGGAAAAGACAGCTGCAACGTTTTGAACTATAACATAGGAATATAATTTGTTTATTCAACAAAGCATGGCAGTTAAACCAACAGAATTGTTTTTAATGTAGTCTCTCTTACCAGATCATGCTGCAAAACTCTAAAGGATGCAGAATGGTGAAATGAATTAAAATGCAATTTATTTTCCCCCTAGATATTTCTAAATGCAGATACAATCCGGCTGGGAAATCTACCAACCGTCTCTTTTTCATCTTCTTCATCAAGTTCCTCAAATTCTCGACAGACAGTGTATGAACTCTGTGTCTGCCCCAATGGCAAACTTTACCTTTCTCCAGCAGGAGTGGGATCCACTTGTCAGTCCAGTAGCACCATCTGCTTGTGGAGCTGAAGTGACTGATTTCTCCTCACACCAGAAAAGCCTTTTGTTCCTGTTCGTCTGCTTCACAGTTCTGCTGTTTCCCTTGTGATCAGTCCAGAGTTTCTTCAGATGGTCCTCAGAGCAACTTGTTCCAGTACAAGCAGGAATTCGCCTCCACCTTCTCTTATGATTTATCAAACTGCTAACATGTACTGTGTGAGTGACCTAACAGTGGAGAAGTCACCTTCAGCAGGAAAACTGGATCATAACTTTTGCTCAAAAGGGAGAATTAACATAGGTGCCTTTGCTACATGAAGTGAAGCACACAGTTTTAGATTTTTGCAGAATCTGGATATGAACTACACAGATAAACATTACATAGATGAAATTCCCAGTATCCAACAGGAAGATGAAATGGTTAACCCTGTATGAAAACTAATTCTACAGTCCAAAAGCACAATTTCCATTCATCTTTTTGGATGTAAACTTTTATCCTTGAATTTTAAATATTTGAAGCATTGTAAAATGCTTGCTTTACTAAAAATTAAATTCAATATGAATTTTTAACAAAACAAAACAAAACAAAACAAGATACAATCCCTCCTTGAGTTTTGTTTCTTTAAATTCAGTGTGTTGTTACTCTTTGTCTACTAAGTCTAGAATTTTGTACATTAGGTTATTTTGAAAGCACTCAGCAATATAATCTTTACATAATTAACACAATGCCATTATATTGTCATTTGTCAAATCTGGATGGCCTTATATCGTATTTACCTGGCTATTGCATGTGATGTATTTGCTTTCACAAAACATTAATTTATTGCAATGTAAGGTAGGATTAAGAGGGACATAACTGATGGTGTGGAATCCGGAGATCACTTCCTTAAAAATTCACATGCTATCCTTTACACTTAGATTTCAATAGTACAGATTTTGTTTTTACTTTATGTTTGATTTTGACTGATAAAATTCAAACATCCTCTCAATAAATATTTATATGATGCATAATGCTGAGAATGGATTCACTTTCCATCGGGCTATCATCTTCAAAGTTATTATCCATTACTTTACATTGTAAATTAAGATATAAGGAGGCTAGAATTAAATATTCTTGACTAAACAGTAAAAAAGACAAATTTAATAAATATTTTGAAAGTGTGTTTACTCCATTAGATTAATTCTATAAGGAATTTAGTCATATTTCTCTTTAACTACTAACTTATAGTCATTTTTATTAAACTATTAAGCTATCCCAATAAAGATCAAAGCTCCTTCCATTCTCTACTACCTATTTGTGCAAATTAGCTCCTAATAAGTAACTTCAAAATATTGTAGATTGGTTTATCACAACACTCCTCAATTTGAATTTTTGAAACCTACAAAATCTAAATATGTAAATCTGTTTTAAGTATTTCCTACTATAGGAAGATGACTTGATTACCCTAAGGTAAATCCTTAATTTTCACTTGTCAAACAATATTTTTACCCATATGCACACTATTAACAGGTGTGTAGAAGTTTCATTTTGGGGATTCCTGGCCACCAGAATTTTGAAGTTCAAGTCTCCACAGCTCAGAGTAAAGTGGAGACTGCACGTTGTTGAAGTAGTTTGGCTAATGATAGTGGGGAATTATGCAATATAAGCAGGAAAGTGAACCATTGTCCAAAATTTTTTCAAAATGGAAAAGTTCCATTTCACTGAATGAATTCTGAATTCAGCATAAGAGTCCTAAATGTACTTTAATTTTATTATTTTTAAAATAGAGCTTGACATGTGTTTTAAGGGTGTGATATAAATCTTTGATTAAAGTTAGAAGAAAAGTTCAGACACATAATTGCTTAAAACCTTGCATCATAATATGGAGTTTAATTTATCCAAATTCAAATATTAGAATTTAAAAAGTGAAATTCAGACATTAATATTTGCAAATACACAAAGATTTTGAGAAATTGTGGGTGCTAATCACTACTTTCTGTTAAGGAAAACAATTTGCATTAGTGTGAGACATAGCCAAGTTCTATAGATCCTAAATTTAAAGCAACTGGAAAGTTTCTTAAAGGTGAACCATCCCCTGGATTAGTAATGCACCCTTTTTCTTTGTTCTTTTATTCATCAGTTGAGCTGACTTGGTAATCTGAGATTGTCGTCTGGCTTTGGCTTACTCAACTGTACAAAAAAAATATATATATATTGAATCAAATGTCCTCCTGAGGTTCCTTCCTCCTCTAATATGTTCTGATTCCAAGAATTAAAACTGTAGATTGTAGAAGGGAGCACTGGAGACTTGAATTATTTATCAAAAGTGGTGAGAAGATGAAAAGAGTAAAGGGAAAAACCAGTGCCAGCGATAGATTTTCAAATTCTCCTTCTCAAAAGTGTAAACAAAATTCAGAAGTAGCATAGAAACTTGAAAATTTAGATTAGTACGTCCAAATAGTGTAAAAATATCTGCTCAATTAAAAAATACAAGAGTGATTCCAAGATTTTTCTATCCATCAGTAAATTATTGGTTGGCTTGCTTGGCCAGCTCTTTTAGTTTCCTCAGAATGAAGTGTAGATCCCATCTCAGATTTTAGGGTTCTGCTGAAGTCTGAGGAGACTGATTCTAGAAGTGCTTGATTTCATTATTAAACACAGTTGGTTCTTTCATGATATACAGGTCCCTGAATTGCAATCTACTCAAATACATTCATTATCTATTTTCCTAGAACCATTTTCACACCCAAAAATATGTAAATGTAATTAATGCACTTTACAGAAAGAATGAAAAATTTTGGGTTCCCTAAATTACATTCAGAAAAAATTATTCACTTAATGTGTACTATATGCTACTGATATATATGCTCATCTATCTTGTTACTCACATCTTCATTTTGAATTCTGTTTAGCAAGGAAGGCAAGAAGTGAAGAAGGAAGAAAGGGAGTCAGTAGTTTTTCTGGCATTTAAATTCTTTCCAGAAATGGATAGACAGAGAGGTATTTGAGTTCAGTTTGAGAGAGGTGTTAAAAAGAGAAACATTAAGGAGAAACATTCTTTTCTCTTTCAGAATATTTCAATAAACATTTCAGAAAATTTTTTAATATTCCTGGTTCATTTCTACAGTTTATTCAAGACACTTGTTAATTCTATTATTTTCTTATCTTATGATCCATAAGTGTCATAATCTAGTAGATAATCATATCCAAATTTTAGACAATTATACAATTCAAATTTTACGACAACTTAGTAAGCTTACAATATAGAACCCACATTCTCTGAAAAATGGAGCCAGAAATTTCAATTCCAGTTCTAGTCTTATTCATGTCAATTTCCTTAAAAAATACATTTATCTCTTCCATTCACTTATTTGTGAGAACACATCAAACTAGAAGTGTTCTAAACTTAACTAATTCACTTAACAAAATTCACATACATGTAGTTCAGTATCCTTGTCTGAAGTAGTATTTAGCATTGTCTTCAGTACTTTATGAAGCTACTTATAAATGTGGTAATACAAAGCTTTCCAATATCCTACTGTATTCCTTTTTCTCTTCTCCCTCTTTTGCTATATTTCAATATTAAGATAACTTTGGGGACTTCATGTATGATTGACAAACTTCAGTATTATGATTAATGTTAAAAAGGGAAAGAATATATTTGGATCTTATTCAAAATATTTAGGAAATTAATAGGCATATTTATCAACCATAAGCATTCTTTTTATTTTTCTATTATTATTTACTTCATCCTGCTCAAAAATATTGGTCTTTTTGGAGAAAAGTTCTTTAGATCACTGAGGTCAGCTTCCGAATTTTTTATCATGTTATGCTACTGAAAACTTCTACATATTCTACCATATTAAGGACTCACCTGGACAGTGGCTCCTTTCACCAACATAATATTTGGGCCATAAAAAGATCCTGATGAATTATATCATTACAAACCTGATTCTCTGTTTGAGGTAGCAATGGTTTGGAGAGTGATGCATATAAGCATTTTAATTTATAGCAGATGCTGTCCATAACATAATAGTAAATTATTAAATTAACAGAGAAGGTATTTAGTGGGCAAATTCTCTATACAACTATCAAATCCAAACTCACACTTGTGTTTTATATGAAGTAAAGTCATGTCACCTTTTTCTTCCAGTAGCTTTGGTCTAATTAAAATTGCTCACGTGACCATATTTAAAGATACATGGATAAATTACTTGCTGTATGTACTAGTATATATTATAGTTGTAAATGTTGCAAAAAAATCATTAATGGAGTAAAATAAGATTTTATTTATATTTCTTTTTGAAAAGCTTAAATTAAATAGTTATTTCAATTATTTTAAACTACAGTTCATTAGTTGTTTAAATGTCAAAGACCAAAGACTGGGATTTCTATTGTATTCAGCTCTACAACATTGCTGTTTCAACTAATTCATTCAAATAAGTAGAGAGGCTTATAATTATAACATGAAATAATAAACATACTCCTGGCAGGATTCTGAGCTGTAGCCATTATGTTGATGATTTTACCATAGAAGGAAAACTATTACTGTGGTCCACTTATCTTTTATACATGCATAGGGAACTCCTCAGTGTTCATAAAACCAATGTATAAAGACTACATCCTAAAATAGGCTCAGGATGGATTAACTCAGCTGAGTTTAAACTTCCATTGCTTACTACAAATTCTTTGAAAAATATATAATTAATCTGAAATACTTTTAGAACCAGAGGGCTATTTTTTTAAGTGATAATTGATGCAGCTCCACTCTGCGAAAGTTAATGAAAAACATTAAAGGAATGAAGTATAATGAATTATATTTTTCTTTTTTTCAGTCTTAATATCTCATGTGTTTGAATATTTATAAATAAAAGCCAAACAGGGTTAAAGATGTATAAGGACATTTGCTATGGAAATATATAATTTGGAGTCTGAGCAATTCCTTATTTATACAGTTCTTTAAATCAGGTCCACGATTCATTTATTTTGTTTTGTAACTTTCATGTAAATGTTTTCTTGTATATAAGATATATGAAAAAAACGGAACTATTTTCTTACACATACTATGCAATATGTTTGTAAAATTGCAATATTACCAAAATTACAAAAGCTGTGCTTTTGTACTCTATCTTGCTTTATGTAAAATCAATCTTTTTCTATATAAATGGACTGTCTGTCTATAAACTGTAGATAACATATCGATTCAGAAATCAGTCTATTGTATCTTTTGTTTAGTTTGGGGTGGATTGGGGTATATTTCTTTTGTGTGAAACTACAGTAAAATTTTGGCAGTTGGAAAGTTTTATTGCCCTCAAAAATGAGACATTTTGAAGCATGCAATGAGCTCCTTCATTTAATATCTCTCCTGTAATTCTTGTATTTTGTCCTAATTTTGGTGCTACTGTGTAACCATGATTAAATGTGATAGTCAAGCAAGAGGATCAAAACTCATATGCTATCATTTCATTTATTTTATTGAGAATAAAAACATTTGAAGTGGTTTGAGCATTATCAGTGAATAGAGACTTTCCAATTATGTGTTGTAAATATCAATCTTATTAAGATGTGAGTTTTCATGAAATTAAGTTTAATATATATATTTATATTTAGCAGGGCATGATAGCATATGCTTGATATCCCAGCACTCTGGGAATCTGAAGCAGGAAGATGACAAGTTTAAGCCTAGCCTGGACAACGTAGCCACTTAAGGAGTCCCTGTCAAAAAAGAAAAAGAAAAAGAAAAAGAAACTAGAAAAGAAAGGAAAGGAAAAGAAAAGAAAAGAGAAAAGGAAGGGAAAGGAAAGGAAAGGAAAGGAAAGGAAAGGAAAGGAAAGGAAAGGAAAGGAAAGGAAAGGAAAGGAAAAGAAAAAAAAAGAGCTGGGGATGTAGCTCAGTCCAAGAGACTGGGTTCAAAAAATCTCTATCATTGCAACAGTAATTATCCAATATGTGTATTTGATAAAGATGCTTTTCTTATGAAAATTGGAAAAATTGTTCCTATTTCATATATGAGCAATAAAACTAAGGAGTTTAAAGTTATTTAACAGTAATGATTGCTACATTGTACCAAATGATTAGGCAATAGTTTAACCTTTCTGGAATCTTTTTTATTTGACTTTTGGGATGAGATGGTTATG